CTGTTGCAACTATGAAATCATTTGCGTACTGAAAGAAGCAGCTGCTTTCACCCAGTGTCCATTATCATAGCCCTTTATGGAGACAGACAATCACTACGCAAATCTATATATTCCAACTACAAGCTTCAGCTAGGAGATACATGAAGGTTTCTATACATGTGGAAATAACTTAGATTACTAGCATAGGTTGCATGGTGAGCTTGGTGTTCCATCTTGCTCTTGCTACAGCAATGGAGTGAGAGGCTTGGTTACGATAGCCTGAAATCTCTTTCAAAAACAAGACCCACTGAATATACTGCTGAGTTACCATGGATCAGTCAAAAAGTGTGTGGGAGAAAAGAGGATTCTTCTAGATTTCAGCATGAAGCTGCACAAACATTAACAGTGGGTGTCAATGCTCAATTTATCTAGTTGTGCCTCAGTTACTGTACAGCTAATCTATGTTCAGAACTGCAGTAGGACAAAGTTTCTATCAAAACCTGTCTCCTGCAGTGTTATGAGACAACACATAACAGGAAAGTGTTTGAAGATAACTTCAGAGAGCCAAGATTCACAATCAAAGGCTATGGGCTGATAAAATAGCCAAGTACTTTCCATTATGATTAAAACAACTTCCTCTGACATAATCTAAAACAACAAAAACCACATATTCCTTCATCTTCACATCTTGTTTGGATGCTTCTTCTCTAGTACTACAAAGAGTAAGTTCATAGATTAACTTACAATTATTTAGGACAGGAAATGCCACAAACCATGGATAGCTAAGCAAGCAATTAGTTGTGCCAATACAATAATCACAACTGCTTATAGAGAGTTTAATAGTGTTATAGCCAAATAGTTTTATTTTTAAAATTAAAAAAGTGTAGCTTAAAAAGTACAGCAGAGGAATAAAGTGGAACCACTGCATAAGAAACAGGAGAACAAAATGCCCTGCACCACCTCCTAGCAATCTTGACTGGTCTATCAGCCTTTAAACAAAGTCATACTGAAGTGAGCACCAGCTAGGAAATCCAAACCAAAGAGATGAAATGCTAATTTAAACTTCTTGGAGGAAATACCTGGCAAAAAATTGTCCTTATTTGCAAGAGCTGATCTATACTGGGGTAGGCAACCTGTCTCCTCCAGGTAAGCTGAACTCCAGCTCCCATGGCCCTCTATCACTGACCACGTTGGTTGGGGCCACTGGGCATTGCAGTGCAACCCATCTGGAAGACACCTGGCTGCCTACCATGATCCATGCATTACCTGTGATTGGTGTTACTTCCTATAACACTTCTGGTAGGCAAAGCACCTTAAAATCCTAATTTCCTTCACCGGTTAGTTCTTCAATTTCCAGTTAACACATGGGAAGTGGCACCAGAAGTATCCAAACAGGACTGCTAGTGGGCAGTTCAATTTGTTCAAATTCAACACTATTTACCATTTTAATTTAGGATACATACAACCTGAAGATCACTGGCAGTTTTGCGTCCTTGTCAGATAGTTCTGACCGCTGGGTTTTTCCTCTGGCTAGGACAAAAACATTTCACTAGCACGTATCTCTTGCATTTCAGGAGATGCTCTTCCTCCTGGAACCCCCACCAGTACATAGCACTGAATGGTTTGAGGAGTCCCCATATGCTCTAGAACAGATTTGGGGGTGGGGGGAGCATGCTGGAGTAGAGGAAGAAACGTGATAACACCCTGTGTACCTATATGAGTTGCATCTCTGCTCACCAAAGCATCCCCTTTTCTTGTTATTCTCAGAATGTTCAGGTCCCCATACTGTTTTATTTGTGATACCTACTGGATTCTTTTTTTAAACACTCCTTTCCTGAGTGATCAGACAAGATTTTATTAGCACAATCTAACTTACAATGTTTTAATTCTATATTTTTATTCTTTTTTTCTTTCTTGTCATTGGCCAGTGCTTGAGAAACTTGTCAGATATGGGGTGGTACATAAATCCTGTGAAGAAATAATAAATACATTAGGGACACAATTCTATGGGTTGCGCCATTGATGACTGCAAGGCCTAAACTTGGAGGCAGGCTTAATTCCCTGTCATTCTGCCTTGCCGGTTTTTGCTAGCTAGGCCCATCTGCCTGTCTAGCTGAAGAATATCACAAGAAAAGGAAAGGAAGCTGGAGAGATCGCAGGGTGACTCATGACCCTGCCTCTCCAGTCCGACCCCTTCCATGCCCACTGAAACTTCCCTTTCTCCAATTCCCTGAGGTCAAATTACCAACCTCAGAGAGCAGCTGACAGGTGTTTTCCCTGTTTCAGGGAATCCAGAATCCTCTGATGTCCTGTCTGTCTCCCTTAAATTGTAGACAGCCAGTTCTGGTTTCATTTTTATTTTAAAGGCAACTGACCATTTCTGCACTAATCTCTGCTTGATTCTTGAATATATGAATTGAATTAAAACCTAGAGTTGATTTACGAGTTGTTGTTGTTTTTGGCCTAGCCAAAAGTTGGCTTTACCCAGATCACCTAGACTGCTTGACTTCCAGTATATCACAGAAGTGAGTACACCCCTCACATTTTGTAAATATTTCATTATATCTTTTCATGTGGCAACCCTGAAGAAATGACACTTTGCTACAATGTAAAGTAGTGAGTATACAGCTTGTATAACAGTGTAAATTTGCTGTCCCCTCAAAATAACTCAACACACAGCCATTAATGTCTAAACCGCTGGCAACAAAAGTGAGTACAAACCTAAGTGAAACTGTCCAAATTGGGCCCAAAGTGTCAATATTATGTGTAGCCATCATTATTTTCCAGCACTGCCTTAACCCTCTTGGGCATGGAGTTCACCAGAGCTTCACAGGTTGCCACTGGAGTCCTCTTCCACTCCTCCATGATGACATCACGGAGCTAATGGATGTTAGAGACCTTGCACTCCTCCACCTTCCGTTTCAGGATGCCCCACAAATGCTCGATAGGGTTTAGGTCTAGAGACATACTTGGCCAGTCCATCACCTTTACCCTCAGCTCCTTTAGCAAGGCAGTGGCCGCCTTGGAGGTGTGTTTGGGGTCGTTATTATGTTGGAATACTGCCCTGCGGCCCAGTCTCTGAAGGGAGGGGATCATACTCTGCTTCAGCATGTCACAGTACATGTTGGCAATCATGGTTCCCTCAGTGAACTGTAGCTCCCCAGTGCCGGCAGCACTCATGCAGCCCCAGACCATGACACTTCCACCACCATGCTTGGCTGTAGGCAAGACACACTTGTCTTTGTACTCCTCACCTGGTTGTCGCCACACACGCTTGACACCATCTGAACCAAATAAGTTTATCTTGGTCTCATCAGACCACAGGACATGGTTCCACTAATCCATGTCCTTAGTCTGCTTGTCTTCAGCAAACTGTTTGCGGGCTTTCTTGTGCATCATCTTTAGAAGAGCCTTCCTTTTGGGATGACAGCCCTGCAGACCAATTTCATGCAGTGTGCAACGTATGGTCTGAGCACTGAAGGCTGACCCACCACCCCTTCAACCTCTGCAGCAATGCTGGCAGCGCTCATATGTCTATTTCCCAAAGCCAACCTCTGGATATGATGCTGAGCACGTGCACTCAACTTCTTTGGTCGACCATGGTGAGGCCTGTTCTGAGTGGAACCTGTCCTGTTAAACTGCTGTATGGTCTTGGCCACCGTGCTGCAGCTCAGTTTCAGGGTCTTGGCAATCTTGTTATAGCCTAGGCCATCTTTATGTAGAGCAACAATTCTTTTTTTCAGATCCTCAGAGAGTTCTTTGCCATGAGGTGCCATGTTGAACTTCCAGTGACCAGTATGAGAGAGTGAGAACAGTAACACCAAATTTAACACACCTGCTCCCCATTCACACCTGAGACCTTGTAACACTAACGAGTCACATGACACCAGGGAGGGAAAATGGCTAATAATGCCCAATTTGGACAGTTTCATTTAGGGGTGTACTCACTTTTGTTGCCAGCGGTTTAGACATTAATGGCTGTGTGTTGAGTTATTTTGAGAGGACAGCAAATTTACAGTTATTCAAGCTGTATACTCACTACTTTACATTGTAGCAAAGTGTCATTTCTTCAGGGTTGTCACATGAAAAGATATAATATTTACAAAATGTGAGGGGTGTACTCACTTCTGTGATATACTGTATATGCTCAGCTATCTTTTAATGTTCTCATCCAATGTGGCTGCCTGTAATCCTGAAGAATTATGAGCATCCTACTGATGCCAGGGGGACGCGGAAATGAAGGTCTCCTTGATGCGTCTTCTGCACTGCAAATGGTCGATTTCAGGTACCCCAGTTCATGATGAGGACAGGCCAGTATTCATTGAGTCCGGGTGGATTGTCACTCCTCCCCTTCATATCCTCCTTCTTGCCCTTCAAATGGTAACTCCTAAATTGGTCTTCTGACCTCAAAGGCAGAGCTAGCATAGGAAGAACCACACTGGCTGCGAAAGTAGGAGAAAAGCTACTCCAAGTCTGAAATTCCAGCTCCAAGGGCACATTTTCACAAGGTGGCAATCTCTCCTACAATGCCCATGCCGTATCCACGTGCATCCCTTGACTCTGACAACCCAGAACTGAAATAGATTGAACTGTCAGTGTCACCATTTGATATGCACAAGATGCTCAACACTCTGAAAGTGCAAAGTATTTTTTTTTACTGTGGCACAAAAGTTAGGCAGTATGCTGTAAAATATTCCTTTCATGTTCATCACTGAACTTTAAAAGTATCTTCAAAACTGTACAGAAGCTCCGGAAAAACATATGATCCACTTTGCTCACAGGCTGGGTGCGTCTGTCAAGAGGCAAGCTGGCATATTATAAGGTTCTCCCCCATTATGGTTTTGCACAATCCCCAATCACATCCCCCCATGATCCTCCTGCAACTGCCAAATTCACCACTGCTGTGCTGCCTGGCTTACCAAAGCTACTTCTAAGTTTCAAGACCAAGTATTATTTTAAAAAATATGTAGCTGTTTTGGACAAAAGAAATATTCTGAAAGAAATGTCAAAAAACTGTATTATTTTAATACCTTTAATTAAGGCAATTCATGGTGACAAAATACTGTGCAGGCTTTCCAGAATTCTTGATTGGGCAAAGTGGTAAACAAAGCAAAGAGTGGGAGGAGAAAAAATGTTCAAATCATGGAATTTACTTTTGGTTAAGTTGGAAAGTGGAAGGAGGAGAATAAAGTTTTTCAAACCCAGGGTTACAGATAGTTTCAGACCGATCCTAAGACCTCCCAAGAGTTCTTTGGTTGATTAGATTTATATCCCACCTTTTTTATTACAAAGAGCTCAAAGTGGCTTACATCATTCTCCTCCTGCTCTCAGTCTTATTCCCACAACATCACCCCTGTTAAATAGGTTGAGCTGAGAGTCTGTAAGTGGCCCAAAGTCACCAGTTCTTGCTGGAAAGAAGAAACTAAGAAAAGTTGATATCCCATGTTTAGGAATCTAAAATCCAGTAAAAAATGTCTGCATTATTGGTTTGTAGACTAGATACTCTTCTTTGATTTTCCACTCTTGCCCACCACCTCTGTAGCCTGCTGCATCTGTAGTCAATCTATACATGTGCAAACCACATAATGACAACCCATTTTTAACCACCCAGAGTTCACAATTCAACAACAAACCATGGGTTCTCTTTCTCAGTTGTTTGTGGCTGACAAGCCAGTATTTGTTGTATGACTGCATTCATACATCACAACAGAAAACAGAAACAGAAGCAAAATCAAACTAGACAGTTTTGCATTTTAAAGAGAATATGAACAAAACTGAAGATAATTTGAGATGGTTTACCAGATGGTAAAAGTCAATGGAAGCCAAACAGGGCAGTTTTACCTAATAGCTGGAGGGGATATGCCCTCCAATAAAATCCAACTTCAGGGGAACATGATAATCTTTTTCTAGTTTAGAATCCTGCTACTGAATGGCTACATTTAGTATTCTTCAGATCAAACAAAAATTGAAGACCCATGGTAGCCTCCCAACCAAACAACATTCAAAAATATGTAATGATACAGTATCTTTGTTTGACTGCTCAAAATATTATGCAAGCTTTTAAGGACTCCAGAATTCTTCATCAGGCAAAATAGTAAACAAAATTTTTTAAGAGCAGGGGAGTTGATTGATGTTCAGGCCATGCAGTATGCATTTGATTATACCCTTAAGAAGGAAAGGAGAAGATACACATTCAAGTTAGGCCAGAGAAAGTTAACTGCAGTTAAGTACCACTGAAATCAGCCAAATCTGACAGTCATAAGTTAAGTACTCATTGATTTCGGAGGGACTTAACTCTCTTTGGTTCAGTAGGATCTCTGTATTTTTTCCTTCATTCATGAAATATTTTAATTAATTTCCATATATATGAAATAAAACCAGTCCTTAATTAAAAGAAAAATACCAATATTTACTTCCTAACTGCCTCTGTAAAAAAAAAAAAATCTAGGCAATTGAAGGCATAGCTTTCCCTTTATTAAAAAAACAAGCTTTCCCTTTATTAAATAAGCTTTCCCTTTATTAAAAAACAAAACAAACATCTTATGGTCTGTATTTGTTTTAAATATAGAAAAATTTAGTAGCCTAAATATTAACAATTTCCATATATACAAATTAAATGGAAATCTAGGTTATTTTCTTCCGAGATATTTTATTCAGAAAGAAAGTTGTTGGCTGAAACGTCCAGAATTTCCATTTTCACCTTTTTCAGTAAGACCCGATACTTGAGAGACATTTTCCTCTTTACACCCACGGTGAGATTTCTCAGTCCTCCCAAGCCATCAGCTTCCTCACTTTAAGTAGTCAGGCAGAGTGTCAGCAGCACAGCGAAATCCCAGATTCGAGGCAGAGCTGTCAGGCGTATTTTGGCTTCGGGCTGCACATCGATACCTGTAGCAGTAGGACTAAGGAGAAAGAGCAGCACAATACCACAAGTATCAAAGTGTGCTGATTTATTTGGAGAACATGCCATTATGACCTGCCCATGGGGAAATACAGCCTCTGCAACAGAAACATGAGTGGGATTCTCTAACTTGGCTTCAGAAATGTTGGTGCCCAAGATGGAAAATCCAAGCAACATGCTATGCTGAGAAAAATATAATATACTCCATAATCCATTGTCTTATTCCATAAGGTAGGAATAGGCCTTGACAGTGAATCCCTCCGGAAAAAGAAGAAAAACAGTCAAGTTTTCTAGGCATAACTGAAGTACAGATTTTGTGCTGCTTCTCATGGCATGGATTTCACTTGCAGATGTATTACTGGAAATCACTCCAAGCCAGACAACATTTTTCTAACTTTCTTGTCATTTTAATGTACAATTTGGAAATGGCTATGCTGAATACTTTCCAGATTTTACAGTATACCAACTGTCAAGTAGCAACTGCTTTGAATGTTTCAAAGAGTACATCTTGCTACTGTCAAAGGAACATAAGAAGAAGCCAATACTAGATAAGTCTATGAGAAGGGTAATATTTTACTAGTTTAACAATGAAAGATTCTCCTGCTACCCATCTCACCCAAAAGGAGGAGCAGCAGCATCTGTCGAAATACATAACCTGCTTTTCATTTCCCAGCTTGTGATTTGAAGCAGTAAGTGGGTAATACCTTTAGTATTCAAGGATTCTAGAGATAATTTTTTTAGCACCTTTGCTGTGCCTTCAACCAGAATTTTTCTATTCTGTCCATTTTTTTCCTTCTTTAAATGTTATCTTGCACAGGTTTTTTTAAACTCTGATTCAATTTCATTTTGCCTCAACTTGTGCCTTGCTTGAAATTGTTTCAGCTTCCTTGGGGAGGCCTGCTTTATCATTTGAGAACAGCAGCTGTCAGAGAAGGATAGGATCTTTGTTGCCATAGTGATCTTGGTTGCCTTGTAATCCTTTAGTGAGTCTTCTGTGACAATATCTTTGGAAGACAGGGTGGCAGTGTTATCTTTAAAGATGCGGCAATGATAAGAGACAGCTGAAGTCCATACCTATTCATGATGTCCCCATCCAGTGTCCTGACCATATAGGATGGGCATCCATATTGGTAGGTTTAGCTCCCTCAAGGCTTTAGAAAACCTTCTCTATTTCTAAGGCAACCAACACAGTCCTTTATCCCACAATCTTGCAACTGCCTATTATTCCAGGGTATTTAAAAACTTTGGATTGTATCCAGCTGTGGATTTTTGCAACTTGGAAACTCTTACGCTCACATAATGTGAGGCATCCAATTTTGGCCTCCCTCCCATCCACTGCGGATGCCCACCCCTCCCAGAAAGCTGTTCCTGAGGGTCACGGGGCTCTCTGGAACAGTATGGAATATGGCACAAAAAGCTGCAGTTGGGGCCAGGGGAGGAATCACAAAAATGAGGCTTTTTCCCACTAGTGCCAAGCCACCACTGGATAGAACCCACTTGGAACAAAAACTAACAGTGCATTTGCATATTTATTTTTAACACATACAAATCAATACAGTTAACAGTTTCAGCAGAATGGAATGTGTTTTCATCGAGTCTTGAAAATTCTCCATCACATCAGCTAGTCAGAACTAATGTAGATATATAGGAAGCTGCAAAACTAGATCAGTTTTCTATATCTACTGAGGTCAATTTTGTTTGACTCCAACAAACACATACATAGCCCGCTATAGTTATTCTGTCTCTCCCTCTCTCCTACACACACAAAATCCAGCATTTTAGGCTTAGAATTCCTATAAACTTTCACTTATTTCCAAAGCAATTTTTGGCTCTCAGTTGAAAATGTACAATAGGAATGAGCAACTTCAGGCTTTCCAGAGGTTAATTTTGTTCCCACCTGGAACTTTCTAGGGGCTAGGCTGCCCTCTTGCCCCACAAAGTAGATTATGTAGTGGCAGCAATAAGATATTTGCTGCTACCCTATCTAACTTGGTTTAAAATCCAAATAGATCCTTTTTTGCTTCTGGTATGCCACAACATTTTAGCAGCAAGCTGCTGATCGTTTTGCTGCTGTGGCACATTCAAGAGCAGCCATAGAGAGTGCACAGGAAGGCAAGGGTCTGTATCTCCCATCCAGGATATACAGTAGTACATGTAAAAGGCTGTTGTTTAGTTGAACAGAGGCCCTGTGCCCTCATTAGTTACCTGCTCCCCTGCCAGGTCCTTTAGTTACATCTTCCCTTTCTCACCCATTCTTTGTTGCCCTATTTCAAATTTTACAAAAGCACCCATGCTTAGTCAAGGTACATCACTTGCTTGCATGTCATGGACAGTCCACGAATGGCAATAGAAGTTTAAGAACTAGAAGAAGGAGAGTAACTGTAACAGCTATGTGGTTTTGGGCCCACCAACACCAGGCCTTGTGAAATGGCCCAAAAGAAATGAATTGAGTCAGGGCAAAGGAGGAAGGAAAACAGGGACTGCAAAGGAAATGAGAGAAGCTTCTGGAGGGACAGCTGATACTTGATACCAGCAGCCGCCAAGTCTTTTCAGAAGAGATGGATATGAAATGAAATGGCATGCATCTTGTACATGAAGCCCATATTATATGTTTGGTATGTCACTTTTAGTTCATTCTTAGTAACGGAATCTCTACACTGATTGGCAAATTTTGAAATCCCCAGGACACAGATGTATAGTTCTTCCTTCTGGACAGACAGCAAATTTTTGAACAGTTAAATTAGGATTCTGCTAGACACATGTCAATACTTCTCTGTTCCAAGTCATTTTAATGTAAAAGCAGTCCTTGACCTGTGACATCTGTAAACTGATTTTTAATACAGAAGGAAAATGATTAGTTTGTGATGATGGCTGGTTTGTGCAATGTGGAAAGTCATCTTGATGCCAGGCATCCTGACAAGTGCTGACTCTATCAGTTTAATTATAGTGATGTAAAGGAGTGCAGTTTTTCTGGTTGTAGCATTGTCCAAATAATGAAGTACCAAATACTGAAAATAGAACTCTCTGTCTTACTGAAAATGTTTTTGTCTTCTCAAGCAAATTAAGAGGGTGGACATAGACAAGCCAAATCCAATTATGGATTGGATGTACAGAGTGCATCAGGACAAATATATTGTCATTAACAGAAGAGGATGCAGCACAGACAGAAAGGCTGATTCCATTTAATAAGCAAATCTTGATGGAGGTTACTAACTGTTGGTTTATGAATAATCCAGGTGAGTGTGTGCATGAATTGTTGTGGTACAGGATTAAGGGCTGGGTTGCATTTCATCAAGAGCATGATTATAATATGCCCATTCTTTCAATATTGGCTTCTGTTGGCAAACAAACAAACAAATCAGTAATCCAGTTTCTGTATCAAAGAAACATACCCAGTTTCTGTATCAAATGTACATATGCATACTGGTGTGCATATGTTGAATAGAAACAGTTTTATGTCCTAGCCCTGCAAATTCAACTGGATGGTAAAAAAGGTGCTTTACTGGCTGTGAAAAAGCATTGTGAAGAGGCAGCAGAAGAGTTTTGCTGAATTATGAGAGACTAGGCTTTGCTTCATGAACTGGGAAATCTGGATTTTGTTCCTCGTGCAACTGCAGTTATTAACATCCTCTGAATCCAGGTCTGGACTTTTCAGGAGTGGCTTAATTACAGCCTCTTTTAAAGAAGCTGGTACACAGGCAGGAGGCATTCATAGCTGCCTGGATCCAGGTAGAAATCTCTTTCTTAGTTGCTGTAATGAGACATGAAGGGCAAGGGTCGAGCACACAAAGGTCGAGTGTGAACCTGCTCAACCAATTTCTTACCCAACACACAAGCTGCAGGGACTCACCCATCTCTGGCCTATATTTACCTTCAGCAAGTTTACCCATGACCATGTCCTAAGAAATAGGTGGATATTGGAGAAACAATGCATTTTCATTAAAGACTATGTTCTTTTGCTATACTTTCCAGTCCTGAAACAGAACTTTTACCAACCTTTTTAAAGAAAACCTATTTTGTCTTTAGCTGGGTCTAAAATGGGACATATTACTCATCTGTAAAGAAAACTGTTATCCCGTTGTTAATTTAATCAAATCTGCTAATTAACGTGTGACATTGATTTCACCCCCAAATAAAATGAGCCTCAAACATGTGATCTCACTGTAGAAAATGTAATCATTTTATGAAAGATGAGTTACACATGAAAACATTAATGTATATAAGAAAAAGGACCTCACAAGCTGCCAAAGAGAAAGAAAACACAGAATAAGATTAGTTTTTAATTAGAATAAATTATACTGGGGACACAACTTTGGCCTGAACAGATTTTTACAAGAAGTCTACTGTAGATTACAACTGGAATTAGCCCAATAGCCATGGAAGAAGATGTGCACGTTTATTATTTAAGAAGTGTTTCAAAATGATTACTGGTTGCTAAGAGCACATACACACATACCAGTTTCCTTCCAATTTTCCAGAACCTTTCACAAGCTTTACAGGGAATTTAATTAATAAATAAAAGTACAAATTGCTTTAATTTCCTTGATTTTACCATAATGAACCTTCTCCATTAATATTTCAACTCTAAGGAAAATTAGCTTTCTATAGGCTATTAGAGATACTAAATCTTGAAGGAGTTTACATGTCTATCATGATAACTTGCCAGGTAAGAATGGATGCTTTTTTTAAAAAAATAAGCATTAGGCTGAGATGTCCTCTTAGTTTCCTCATTTCTGCTCAGGTTAAAATAATTTAAGAACCAGCACAGGTTATGAGCAACTACAGGGTCATCTGGAGGAGCTATGGAGCTTAATTCCATAGCTCCGCCAGATCATGACTGTCCATAATTTATATGGCTAGCATAGTCTTGATTTTGGATACCTAAAAATTACATTAATCAACCTCTCCCCACTCCCCAAAAAGAAGACCATGAAAGACCATCAAGCAGATGGACTGAATGACTTCTGGTGGAGCCTCATGGCCAGTGCCAAGAGCATCAGGTCGATTAATAGAAGTGAAATCTGGAATATTATTACAAAAATAATTGCTCAGCATTCCAAGCTACTTCCTGTTAGAAGTAGCAAAGTGACAGGTGATGCAATGGTAATTGCTAGTCAGTTCCCCTTGTTCCCTGCTTTAAATTAAATTAAACAAATGAGTGGTTCTATATCCAAAGCTCCCAGGGTGACATGCAAAATAAAAACAAATACAATACAGTGATAACACATATAACAAAGAAAACAGAGAAGGATTTAAGCGCAGCAGCTGCAATGGGATTGTAATAATGTGACAACAGAAGTCTCCTACCCATCTCATAAGGACATCCTTACAGGCAGTAGGTCATTTTGTGTCTTCTTGCAGATGGTGTCAGTGGACACGTGCATTTGCATGCACACAAGGCAAACACCAAAGATCCCTCCATTTCAGTGGAGACCAGCTCTTTCCCATCACTACACTACTTAGCTCTTGAGCAGCCTCCCACTCTAGGAAACTATGTCAGTGCTGTGCTATTTAATTATCTCTTGCACATGCACAAGCTTCCAAGGCGGCTGTAACAATACAAAATGAAAATTCAATCACTGACAGAAAACTAAATCTCTCATGTATGTAAGTATGTGTGCATGTATAGCAAAACAATGAGGCATTAGAAGAAGCAGCAGTGAATGCAGAGAAACAGCAATAAATAAATGAAACCCACCCAAAATTATTTATATTGATATTCTTGTAAGCTGTCCTGAGCCTGTGGCAAAGGATAGCATATAAGTGTTTTAATAAATAAAAATAAATGAATAGAATAAAATCTAATCTGAATTAAGAGTTCAGGAAAATAAAATTATCTTAGCTGGCAACCAAATACTAGGGAGATGGGCACCAACAAAGGCACAGCCATGGAAAAAGTTATCTGAGGGCAAGAAGATCCACAGCAGGGCTCCAATTGAGAATGTAAAGAAAATAAAGGTTCATATTTATGCTGATTTTACTGTGATTTTAAAGACAAACATCCCTTAGGACATCCTTCCCCAAACTGGTGCCCTGCTGATGTGTCAGACTGTAATGCCCATCATTCCCGGTCAATAAGGCCATTGGGTGAGAATGACAGGCATTTAGTCTAGCACATCTAAAGGGCACCAGGTGAGAAAGGACTACCTGAAGAGGTTTGGGCAGTTGGTTAGGGTTCCTTCCAATTTAACTTTATTTATTTTTGTGTGTTGTTCAGGCCAGTAATTGGGTCATCAAGCACTATTTGGCATGTTTCTGCTTGCAAAAGCTATTGGCCTGTGAGGAACCACCTTATTCCCTTCCCTAACTTCATTTCCCTATGACCTTTCCATCTGATTCCTCACCCTGTGGAAGTGAGAGAGCCAACTGCTATACTACCAGTTGATGGCTACCGCTTGAACTATTTCTCTTTCACTACCTTCAATACCAGGGTAGCTGTGCGACTGCTGCGAGAACCACCATTCTCAGTCAGTATTGACCTCCACCGGATAAACATTGTATTTTCTTATTAAGTAATAGCAGCAGTCCATGTTCTTCCAAAGCCAAGAAAACAATATAACCAGCACACACAGAGACTCAAACTTGTTTTCTCCCTCAGCTTGCAATGCTTTCCCTTCATTGGTCTTGGGATCCCAACTCAACAGGGAAGTCAAACCACAAAGTAGTTCTATGATCAGTACATTTATCCCAGCAACAGACATAATATGTTGAACATGAATAAAAATAAGTTTCTCATTTTACCACATTCCATACTGCTCTTTGCTCCCCTTGTCCATTTCGTACAGCTACCCTAGGTAGTATCAAGAGGTCATACTACCAAACTAATTGTCATCTCAGGTGCACTTGTGGAGGTCCAAGTAGCATTACCTTTGACTTAGAGGAAGGCATTCTGACATCCTTTAAGAAAGCCTAATCCAACATGTCAGCTGTAACAGTGGGTTGGCCACTGGAGTACAAAGGAAACAGTTAAGTTCCTCACTGTCTAAATGGGACAACTAAATTGCCAACAAGCTAAAATTAGTAGACAACTGATGTTTTATCACAACTAGTATTAATGGATGCTTCAATTAATTAACAGTTCACTGGTTCATCAAGCTAATTCAATTTATCCATCCAGGAGTGCTTCTAAATTCACCATCTTTAGATGTACAGTATTAAAAGCAATTCTATTTGCATTCTTTCCTCTTACCAGTTATCAGATATACAAATAGGGACCTCTACATATGGACATACTAACATCTAATTTACAATTGTCTTAGGAATGAGAAATGACCCTTTTGGAATTACCTTATGGCACATGTAGGATCCACCTTTCTTCACTCGGTCAGTTCCCTTTGGGGGTCCTTTCTGTAGATCAAAGGATACTGATTAATGGCTATCTACACAAGGGTAGCAGCAAATATCAACTCAAAAGATAGAAAAGAATTAGAAATAGAAAAGTGAGAAATGCGTGAAAGTTCATGTGAGCAATCTACAGCTGCTGCTACAACCAAAGGGCAATGAAGGAGGAAAAAGCTTGGAAAACAGTCCACTGTGAATGACTGGAAGACAGTCCAATGTAATTGCAAAGGCCTCTGCACAGCAAAGACTACTTCAGTTTTTAATTGCTACTTTCTTCTGTTAAGTCTGCAGCATGCTATTTTGGTTTCCCTTAATAAGCTTTTGTAACATTCTGCTAAAAGCTAGATGTTAAGAATGAAATTGTGATGATAGACTGAAAAAGTAAAGTGATTAGCAGAATTCTATCCAACTTCTTTTGGAGTCATAGACAGAGCTGTACAATTTATGCCCCGTTAAGATTTTAGTTCATCTCTTGCATCTAATTATGGATTTGGTGGTAGGTCATGTATCAACATTAGGATTCTGTTTGAGACCAAGCAGTATCTAGATCTCCCCTTCCTTCCTCTTTCAGACAAACAAAAATTACCCAAGTTAACTAATCCAGCATTAAACCAAGTAAGGATCTGGGGAATTCTGCAGTATATTATAAGAACATGACTCTGAACTATTAGAGCAAGTTACTGGAGAGCCAGGGCAGCTACATGGCACACACACACCAAAGACTCATGCAGAAAGTTCTCAGGGACATGCATTCACTACATGTATCCATTGTCCCCTAGTGAGGATTTTGTGGACTACTGCAGTTTTTCCAAGTTTTTACATCTCTTCCCCCAGAATCCACACAGGCACACATAAGTGTTCAAGAATAGAATACCTCTGTGTGGAGAGATGAATTGGTTGGTTTGGATTCATATCTGACCCTGATTTTGTCTTTCTCAGTTGGCTCATGGCCAATAGTTGGGGGACCATTTTGTGCTAACAAATCATACTGGAAAACTAAGGGGAGAAGTTTTGGAAATGCCAAAGGAGAAATAAGCTTTTTAATAATGTTGTAAACTTTGGGGATCTTAACGTCAGAAAGCAGAATGATCGTGATTGCATTATTCCATAATGTCACTAGTATTACAAGTACTACTGTTTGCCCCAAATGCATCCAGGGACTTCAGACCAAACAGAGCTACAGAAAAGGCACAGAAAAGACCATTTCCAGTATTATATAGGAACTCCATGTGTTTCTGTTTACAGAGAAAGAGCACAATATGGCTGTATAGTAGTGGCAGGATTTTGAAAGCTACTTGGAACAGAGTGATTGGTTTGTTTTTGATAAAAGAAAAGCCTTCCAAAAAGGTCTGAGAGAACATGAAGGGCTGTCTTTGCTTCTGGCAGTTTTTGGTGCTGCCAAATCACTGTAATTTCTTTGATTTCAACATTGTCTCATGAGAAACGTAATTGTTATCATGCTAAGCAGACTAGCCATGGTTTGCACAGTAACAAAAATATGATTTGCAGATAGAAATGTTGTCAATTTTAGTACTTTGGATGCATAATTATGATGATATAGCTAATCTGTAACTTTAAACTGAATTTTTAAAATTGTAAGATACCCTGATTTTTTAATTAAAGGGGGTATATAAATAATTGAAAACAAATAACTGCTGTTATTTCAAAAATTAGTTTCAACATTTCACCAAACATTGCTCTATGCGCCTATTTATGCCTGTCTTCACCCACACAAGAGCTACATAACATTATTTAAATGCCCATGTATTTATTATGGGTTGCCTCAGGGGTCTATACTAAGTGTGACTCAGTCTGGAGCAAATCCCAGATTTTATCCCACATCTTCTTCCAAGTGAAGAAGACCCGCTGTGATGACTTTGTCCAGCACTTCAAGGAGAAAATCGCTCAGATTCGTCACGAGCTGGACTTCACAAGTGATTCAGATCCTTTAGGGGAGACACCAATGACCCCATCTGGTCAGGTATTAATGGATGAATTTCAGTTAATGCAGCCTGATGATGTGGACAAGGTGCTTGGACAAGTACATCCTACCACCTGCTTACTCAACCCTTGTCCTTCGTGGCTGCTGACCAAAGCCAAACATGGGATTGGTTCCTGGATCCTGGAGGTTATTAATGCCTCTCTGAGGGACGGCCAGGTGCCCGTTCCTTTAAAGGAGGTGGTAATCAGGCCTGTCCTAAAGAAGGCGTCTCTGGATCCAGAGATGGCCATCAATTATAGAGCGGTGGCCAACATCCTGTTTTTGGGCAAGGTGTTGGAACGGGTGGTGGCAGGAAAAACTCCAAGCACTCTTGGATGAAACTGATTATCTGGACCCATTTCATTCTGGCTTCAGACCCAGGTACGGTACTGAATCTGCCTTGGTCGCCCTGTATGATGTGCAGGGAGAGAGACAGGGGGACTGCGCCCCTGTTGGTTCTCCTGCACCTCACAGCGGCTTTCAGTACCATCGACCATGGCATCCTCTTGGATAGACTGGTGGGACTGGGAGTAGGAGGCACTGCTTGGCAGTGGTTCCGCTCCAACCTTGATGGCTGATTCCATAAGGTGGTGCTGGGGGACTTTGGCTCTGCACCATGCTGCCATGAAGTGCCGCAGGGGTCCATTTTGTCCCCCTTGCTATTTAATATCTATATGAAACCGCTGGGAGAGGTCATCAGGAGGTTTGGGCTGCGGAGTCATCAGTATGCTGATGACACCCAGCTCTACCTCTCTTTTTCAACTAACCCAGGTGAGGCAGTGGCTGTACTGAACCAGTGCCTGACTGAGGTAATGGGCTGGATGAGGGCCAAGAAACTGAAGGTCAATCCAGATAAAACGGAGGTTCTGTTGGTGGGTGATTTGAGCTCCTGGGTGGGTGACTTGGGCCTTGCCCTGGACGGGGTTGCACTCCCTCTAAAGGACAGGGTCCGCAGCTTGGGAGTGCTCCTCGACCCGGAGCTGTCCTTGGAAGCTCAAGTGACAGCGGTGGCGAGGAGTGCCTTCTTTCAGCTTTGGCTGATCCATCAGCTGTGTCCCTACCTGGAGGAAGATTGCCTAGCAACAGTAACACACGCATTGGTTACTTCCCAGTTGGACTTCTGTAACGCGCTTTACGTGGGGCTGCCCTTGAAGACAGTCCGGATACTTCAGATGGTGCAAAACAGAGCTGTCAGGATGCTGTCGGGGACTGGGCATTACTCCCATATAACCCCAGTCCTCTATCAGCTCCATTGGCTTCCCATTGAAGTCCGGGCTCAATTCAAGGTGCTGGTTATCACCTATAAAGCCCTAAACTGCGTGGGACTAGGATACCTAAAGGAATGCCTTCTTGCCTATTTGCCCTCCCACCCCTGAGATCAGCAGCAGAGGCCCTCCTCCAGGAACCCTCTGTGAAAGATATTAGGAGACAGAGTACCTGGAGGAGGGCCTTCTCTGTGGTGGCGCCCCAACTGTGGAATGCGCTCCCCAGGGAGGTCCGCCTGGCGCCCTCATTATATGTTTTTCGGCGCCAGGTTAAGACCTTTTTATTTAATCAATATTTTAACAAGTTTTAATATTGAATTTTATTATCATATTTTAATTGTAGCCAGAGTGGGTCATTAATTTATTTATCTTATGCTTTTATGTATATGTATTTTATTTGTGTAAGCCGTCCTGAGGCTCTCGCAAGGGATAGAATACAAAAATCTTAAATAAATAATGCAGTAAGAAGATCCACTCAGAAAAGCCAGGACAGGTGGTGTGGCTGAGAGGGATTTAAGCCTAGATCTGTCCTAGGCTCAAACTACACATTACATTAAAATATGACTGAGCCTTTTCTTTTGTTTTTCCCTGGTAGAAGTGTGCACTGTTTCCTCCTACTGTGCTGGACAAGAGAAGAATTAAACCTGCCTCTCCTCACAGTCCCCACAGGAGCAGGGGGTTAATAAAAGGAGAAATAGCTTCTATAGATACCATTGGAATTTCAGAAGAAAAAGGGACAAGCACAGCAAGGCATAATCCTGGAGTGTAGTGCTCCTGAGCCAAATCAGGGCTACACATGAGTAAAACAAAAGACAATCCTCAGAGTTGTTTTGAACCTTAGTCCGACCTTCTACTATAAACCCAGGACAATGGAGAACACTATGCACATCACTGTAGGTGTCCCCAGAAGACTTGTGACGTGTGCTTAGCTGGGCATGGTATTGGGATGCGGGGAGACACTGAGCTTTACACAGAAATGTTAACCTTGTTAGTTACGTGGTTATTGCTTTCACCCCACAACCACAACTACGGTCTGCTGAGAACACCTGAAACAAGCAGAAATGCCTCTAGAGCTCCAGGTAGTTCTCAGGGCCTGTGTGGCTAATATAATGTTTGGCAGTTCCATCACTCCATGCCACAAAGAACTCCTCCTTGAATTACAAACAAAAGGAGGAAAGGCATTAGCCAATTGCCTGAATGGGGTTCCCTGTGGCAACACCAAGTGAGATCAAAAAGTATTATTCAGAATCTGACAAGTAGCTCCACCAAAGCAACACTGAATGTTGCCCTAAGTCTGCATTTGCTGTTGGAAGAAAAGTAATAATTTAGAATACCCTGTACAAAAAGCTTCTTTTTCTACAGGCCTACTACAGGTGCGCAGACTATAAAGGAGTAACTTTTGCTACTAAAGCACAGAGACAATTAGTGTGTTCTTTGGATGATGTCCCCTATTAATTATGCAAAACGAATGTAAGATCCAAGGGGAATGAAGAGCATATTGGCAACAAGTGAATCTAAGTGGCAACTGCAGATTCCAAAGTGGGATTAGCACACGGTAACGCATTTTACTTGCACTGTAACCTCTTCAGGCCACCTTATTACATTACGGGGGGGGGGGGGGATCTTTTTTCAAGAACAAACATTCTATTACAATTGAGGGAATTCAGTTGCAAGCCGAAATGCACCATAATGGAGTCGCTTCCTCTGCTTGCTAAGTATTTTTCCTTCCCCTTTTTTGCTATAAATATGAGAGCAACAAA